GTGAAAGCCAGGCCGCTCTTTACTCAGAAGGGGCTGTGACCTGTGCAAGGCCTTGCACGCCATGGGTGTGCCATGTGAAGCCATCGGGTGTCTGGATGCTAATGATTTCCTTCATACAGCCCTGCAGATGTAGTATGCATCAGCACCACCTCCGGACTAGACTGAAAAGTCGTCCATTACTGGGAATCCATAAACCCAGTGACATCACCGTTTCCAGGCCTCAACCACACTGCAGCTGTACCTGGACTCTGTTTCTTCCTTCCCATGCGGGACAGCATTTCAGAGCTTGGGTGATAGGCGAAGGATTAATACCCGGGACCTGGAACAGGTGGCCACAGGGACCAGGCAGGTGAGAGTGAACCCCGAGATCAGCAGGTAGGAGAGGGCAGCAGGAAGACCAAGCAGAGCTTCAACTGGAACGGGGAGGTGGGGGCTGCAGAGCGCCACCCAGAGAGAAGCACAGCGTATCCAGTCGGGGCCCAGCCATGAGGCGGCAGTGATGCTGACCATGGCTCACAGCACCGAGCTGCTGTCACTGCCCTGGCCTCACCTTCTCTGACCTTGTGGCCACCTGGAGCTCACACACCCCACACTCTCCCTCAGTACCTGGCAAACAGCAACCCCTCCTCCCCTCCTGGGGTGGCCTCGTGCCCAGAGCCTCTCGCGTCCCTGTCAGCTGGCTGCTGGCCTCCCGGAGGGAGGAAGGGGACGTGGAGCCTGGCCTCTTCCTGGTGAGTACGGCCGGCCCCGCCCGCCTGCTCCACTCCCACGGAGCTCATCTGTATCCAGAAACGGCGGCAGCACAGGAGATGGAGAGGGGCTCACCTTGCTCCTGTTTCTCCTCCCTTTGTCCCAAAGCTGGGCTGCACACAGGGACTGTGTCTGAGGGCCTGGCTGTGGTGAGCACCTTTTGCATGGGGCTGTGCTTATCTCTCCACTGAAAGACATTCCAGAGTCTTCGAGCTCCTGTATGGCCCCAGGAGGTGGTGGGCTGGGTTGCATCCCAGGGCTGTAGTTCTGGAAGCTTCTGCCAGTGTCTGGTGCCTTTGATAAGGGTTATGTGCCTTAGAAGCATCTTGAGGCCTATGGAGCAAACACTGGGGCCGGGGCAGCCTTGGAAACCCTTCAGCACCTCTCTGTTTTCATCAGCATGATGCACTGACCGCTCACTGGGACCCCCATTACCCACAGAGCTTCGTCTCTCTCCGTCCAGCCCTCCAGGCTGAGGCTTCCCCTCAGGTGGCCACGAGAGGACCAGCTTCTCCTCTGCTCCTGTCACCCCTGCCCCTCCTGCCTGCTGTCCTCAAGGCCAGGGGCTTGGTCATCTTACCAGGCTGGGGAGAGAGTCCTTGGGGTGTCCACATTCTCCCATGCCCTCCAATTCTGAGGCAGCACGCCCCTCCCAGCCCTGCTCTGTGTCCCACACAACCTGGCCCCTTCCTTCCAGAAGGGCTGCTGCCACCCTGCTCCTGGTTGAAGCTGAAAGCCGCTTCCCTGGCAGACACAATGCAGGAGAAACCCTTCACAGGTCTCGAAAGGTGGAGGGAGTGAAGGGTCCTAGCCAGGAGCAAGGGAGATGCTGTGACTCCGGACATAAAGGTACAGACACACGGCTCTAAGGACCAGAGAGTGCAGAGGGCTCATGAAAACTTAGCTGCCTGCATTTGAACAGATGTTCTCTGCCCACCCGGAGACATTTCTCAAAATGAGCCGGCCCAGATCCTGGTAAGAATAAAATTAGTCAAGATGAGAAACAGGTTGGGCCCGGAGGAAGGGCTGACCCATGCACATGTCCAGCTCTTGACAGACCACGGTTGAGAAAGGAATGTTGGGGCCGGAAAGGGTGACGCCACAGATCATCGGTGCCTGGATTCTGTGTTTGCCACAGAGCTGGCATGTGGCATTTCCTAGGGCCACTTGTGTAGCATGTGTGATCTGCATGAGCGTGGCCAGGGCTGGGGCTGTTCCTTGAGCAAGTTACTTCCTGCCCTGCCCTCGGTGCCCACCCTGGATGCAGGTGCCCCAGGCCTAGAATACAGAGACTCTGGCACAGCCGTGGGTGCCCTCGAGGCACCTGGGGAAGTGTCTCAGGGTTGCCGGCACTGTGCAGCCACAGTTTGTCATTGCAGACGTTTGTCCTAACCTTGCTTGCTCTCTGGAGCCTCCTACTCAGACTTCCTCCCAAGGCAGCTTCTCTGACTCCCCTAATTGGCGCTCCTGAGCCTGCACACCCTTCACCTGTGGCCTGGCGGCTCTGCCCAGCGGGTTCCCAAGGCAGCCGACCCTCAGCCCAGCTCTTCTCACGGCCTGTGCTGACCACCCCTCTGTCCTCTGCTTCCTCTGTGCCCACCTCTCCCCCACAGTGCAGAGCGGGGACAGGGGGAACAGAGACAGGACCTGTTTGGTATCCTCTCTGGTGGCACGAGTGTGCGCTGGGCTGGTGCAAGCAGCCAGTGCCCCTGTGCAGCCCATCAAGGAGAGCCTGCTCTAGGCCCTCGGGAATAGGTGCTGACCCGGAGCACAGGTGCCCGTGGTGCCCACAGCAGCCATGAGTCACAGCACCGCTGAGTGTTTGGAAGATGAAGTCTCACGTTGAATCGGAAATGATTCTGTGGGAAAGTCAGCCTTGCATCGGATGCATCTGCTGTCAGAAAAGAGGAGAATGGAGGACGTCCCCAGTGTCCACCAGCAGTGGGCTCCTGCGAGGCTGCTGACTTCGAAACACGCACCTCCCCCAGGAGGGGCGATGTGCCTGTGCCCTGCCGCCAGGGGTAATTACCTTTTCCTTAGGGGTGGGTGCAGTTGACAGCAGTGCTGGGGGCTCTGCTAGGCTGAGAGGAGTGCGTGGCCGTGGTGGGGACCGCACAGATGGCCATGAAGATTCTCACTCGTGAACTTTAGTGACAGACACCGCCTCCCAGACGGACTCTTCACCCCTAGGCGGAGAGTGAATCGAGGGTCCGAAACTTCCGGGGAAGAACTCACTCTTAAAGATGTCCAGGTCCTCGGGAGGAAGCCAACCTCAGTGAGCTGGAGTCTTGGCCTCAGAGGCTGCTCTGTCTCCACAGCTGGACAAACAGGCAGGACAGATGTTTGGGTGAAAAGGCCTCGTTAAGAGTAAGAGCCACCGAGGGAGACTGTGTTCGTGACCTTTCTCACTGGTTGCTGAGGCAGAATACTGGACACCCAGGGTTAGAGGGGAAGGGGTTTCCTTGGCTTAGGGTTGGTGGAGGTTTAGTCCATAAGCAGCCCGCTCCAAGGCAGGGGTGACAAACGGGTCTGGCAGAGCAGGGACCACGTGGCTCATACAAGGCAGCAAAGGCAAAAAGAGTTATCAGCATCCTTCTGCCCCTTTTATCTTAGTCCACCGGGATTAGGGTGCTGCCATACTAATCACTCCCATGTAGTGGTTCAGTAATCACACACCCTTAACCCGGCATCACACATTCCAGGCCCAGCTACCTCTGAAAAAGAAAGTCCCCCCTCATCTGCGTGAGCCTTTCAGGGGGACATCGAAACACAAACCATAACAGGGACGAAGTAGTAACAGTGGACAGTAATGGTAAGGGAGCACATCCTTTTGAACTTTGCAAGTTTCAGCCTGCATGAGCCAGAGAAAGCCAGAGAGAAGGCTGTTCCAGCTGTAAGATGACAGCCTGGACGGGGGCACTGTTTTATGTCAGTGGGCTCATGTGCTCATTTGCTCACATATATCGGAGTGCCTGCTGAGCCCCCAGTACACCAGGCCAGAAGGGACACAGCTGAGTGATTACCACGGCTGGAGGTGAGGGCGCCTGCTTGCTGAGATGTGGGCCCGCAGGGTCCTTGACAGCACTCAGGGTTCCCAGACCAGGGGCACAAGCATCAGCTGGAGCCCTGTACAAATGCAGGGTCTGGGGCCCCACCCAGGACTCCGTGGCCTTCGTGGTCCCTACGTGACTTCCAACGTGTTAGAGAAACTCTGATTAAGCAGCAGTTCAGCACCGTTGACACAGAGGTGAGCGGCGACCTGGCTGCAGAGGCATTCAGCACAGCCCTGATGGAGCATTCCTGGCCTAGCACCATTCCTACAGTCACTTTGTGGAAGTGGCGGGTCCCCAGAGCAAGGAGGTCCAAGAAGGAAACACAGTCTGCTGTTGGGTAATCCAGCAGGAGCCGAGGAAAGGCTGGTCCACTGGAGAGGAGGCAGGGCCAGGTCAGGAGGACAGATGTGCTCTGACGGGGCAGGAGGGAAGCCCCGGAGACGGAGCAGCTGGCCTGTCCAGGCTCCCTCAGCAGCCCATGTTCCCAGTCCTCTGAGCTGCTGTGGCCCAGGGCAGGCTCAAACGTGCTGCACATCCCCAAGTGTGCTAAACGCAGGCTCTCCGGAGAGGGGGATGCGAACTGGGTGAGGAAGCCGAGAGGAGGAAAACCTTGGTGCTCTCGCTGCCGTTTTGAGACTGAGTGAGAAAACGCTGACAGGCAGCAGGGAAGGCATGAAGTGTGCGGTGAGCCCGGGGAGTGGTTGTGTGCACATGTGGGTGTGTGAGCGCTGGGCACACCCACTTGCATGTGTGTGGATATACACACCACCCGTGCACCCAGATGGGTGGGCACCTCTCTCTTCAGCCCTGCTCCGACGAGCTGCCCACCCACGTTCTAGGTTCTAGACCACGAACCTAGGGCATGCGTGCCACCGCGGGCTGTTTGTTATCACTGAAAGCTGTGAAAGGTTCACCATCACCGATGGAGGTGAATCAACTCCCAGCCCGACACGCTCCTGTCCTTGCTGTCTTCTCGATTAACTTTTGTGTCCAAAGCCAAAGACACAAGAGCATTCCGCCCTGGGAGAAGGACACTGAGAGTGTGGCTTCTGAAGGGTGCGAAGGCTGAAGTCTCCGATGGGGGGCAGGACACAATCACGATTGCAGTGTTTGCCCCGGTGGGGGCCACAGCCCCTCCCTTTGGGCCTCGCGAGCCTCCTGGACTCTGACTCTGATCCTCACTGAGTTGCTAATATTGGGGTTCAGCCTGAACAGCTGCACGAAGAGCACAGGACCCAGAATGGGCGACAGTGGAAGTCATAGGTCCCCGGCCTCTCCCACTGGCCAGCGAGAGGGATGAGATTTGTTCCTGGGCAGAAGTGAAATGTCTTTGGCTCCGTGGACAGAGGAAGCGTAGGAAGCCAGCGGTGGCGGCTGGGAGGGAGTCCCTGCCCAGAGTGCTGCGCCTGTCCGGGAGCACACGCGCACAGAGCCCCTCACGCTGCGCATTCATGCTCCACAGTGGCCCGTGGGCTGCTCTTGCACGCAGCAGTTGGCATTCACAGCCTCTGCAAAGCTCCTGGGGACTTGGCTGTGGGCATCACTTTGAAAGCAATGGAAACAAGCCAGGGGTTATAATTTGGGGAAGTGGACAAGGGGAAGAGGGGCCTGGCCACGAGAGGAAGGTTCCTGCCCCAGCACCGCCACCTTGGCGAGACGGCCGGTTGGGCTTTGTTGGTGTCTGAGCGAGTTTTGGCAGTGTTTATGCGGGCAGTGTGGTGTGAGCAGTGTGCGAGGCTGGGGCTCTCCAGGGGCCTCTCTTCTCTTCCCCATGAAACACAATTCCACACGCTCTGAAAGGGTCACCGTGAAGGTCAGGCAGTGGGCTTGAATGACTGCTATCAGAGGTAACAGTTCCTGCCGCCAGCAGGCATGGAGCGTGCAGGGAGGCTTCTGCCACAGGGACAATGTGGCCTTGGACAGATGTCCTTGGAGCGCTCAAGCCCTGAGAGTCCCTGGGAAGGACACGCCTGCTGTCTGGGGTGGTGACCACGGCTCACTCCCTGGGTCTCTCTCTCTCTCTCTCCCTCTCTCTCCC